TTAAAAATACTAGTATGAACTAATTTAAGACAGTAGTCTACAAACATGAAAGCTTAATCTACAAACATGAAAGGTTTATCAAAGGAATGAGACAAGAACTGCTATTCCAGTAGTGTAGAGAGACTTGAACAAGAGGAAAAGAGGAGAAGGGAAGCAACAGACTGATTTATGAAAGTCAACATTAGAATTTTATAATTGAATTTGAATTAGCAAATAAATGAGTAATAGATGGATGAAGACAGAATCCATTCCTTCCACTCTTTCCAAAATATATCATCTTGACTTCTATATTCTTGCTCTGGGCACAGGTCCAGATTTAAAAAAATTGCTTCCCTCAAAGCCTTATGTGCACCAAGCTGAGGAGTGTTCACTGCAGGCAATTAGGAGGAGAGGAAAGGACAGTATATGTGGGGAGGATGGACTATGATTGTCCTTGTTGCAGTCAGTCTGCCACCTTTCTTCAATGCAGTTATTCCCAAGGTGTTCATATGAATAAAGGAACACAGTATATTTCAGCACTTACCTAGGACTATCGTTCCTATGGTGAGGGCCAGGCACAGTGCAAACAGAGTGAAGATAGCTGGCCACCATACAGCAAAGGGAAGAGAGCGTCCTGGGAGAAACCAACAATTTATCTGAGGGCAGGCACCCTGTGCAGGAGCACTCCCAACCCTCCACCCCTCCATGAAGAGCCAACTGGTGACTCTTGAAAGAGTTCGTCCTCCGGGCTGCATTATATTTTAAGGATCAACCCAAATGCAAGTTGAGAAGATGTGGTGCCTCTGTTAAAGAGGTCTGTTTGAAAGGAGACACTGGACACAGTTTAAATGGGACAGGCGGGGGATTCCTTGCCTTTGACAAATGATAAAACTATGAAACATTGTAGTGATCCTATGAGTTAGAAGTAGGTGATGCTCCTGTTCTCCTTTGCCAGTACTGCATTACTCTGCTCTGTCAGAACAGAGTAAGGAAGTGTTTCCCTACCATCTTACACTTCGCATAAATCCCTCCTGCTCTCAGGGCACGCAGTGCTCAGGCTGTGTGCCAGCTCCAGGCTGAAGCCCAGTTCAGGAAATTCTGGAGTCCAAAATATCCACTGAGGTTTCCCTGGATTTAAAAGTTCCTGAGAGTTACCGCCACCAAACAGTCATGGCAATGCAGTATGATGGACCTTTCAGATGAAGAAATATTTAGCTCAAGGCTGGATGCCCTCTTGAAGTACATGGCTTAGCTCAGCCGGAGCTGTGGGACTTGCAGAAGGGAAATGACATGACCTATTCATTCGGGCCCGGTGCTGCCTTATCCCTTCTGGCCTTAAAGGCTATGAATCTTAAGCATTTTCTGAAAAATTGAGGTCCAGAGGGCAAAACGTGAAAGTTTTTTTCCTATTAGAGACAGATCATCCTGTCTCTATAGCCATTCCCTGTAATAATAAATAAACAATAAATAAAACTAACCACATTAAAGCTGATTCCTACATTCCAGTGTTTAATCCTGAAGCCACCTGTCTTTTCCTACAGAAATTTAGGGCAAGTAATGGCAGTAGTTCCACTCTATGCATTTTCACATTCATGCATGCTGAGTTTTGTCAGATAAAACAATATAAATAGTGTATTGAACCTAGAGCATTACACCTATAAGTACATATTTTTCTTATTTACTGAGCTGGATGAGAGAGACTGTTCCTATAGTCATTGTCTACCATAGCACAGAAAGTTCAAAGAGCAAGTGTCAGTCGTACCTTGGTTGATGTTCAGGGACATGTAGTGTCTGGCTGGATGCTGTGGCTGGTGATTTAAGTTAGAGTACCCATCCTCTTCCTCTGTATTCCTATGCATTATCTGAGAACTAATTTGTGGTTCAGTAACGATCCTCTTAAAAGACAGACTGAATGATTTGTGAAGGAGAAGCAAAAAAAAAAAGCAGAAAGGGGCAGGGGACAGACGAATGAGTCACACTTCAAATGCCCTAAGGCAAGATATTTGTATTCAAATGTTCTGTGTGACGACTCCTTTTCCTCCCTCAGGGGAAGAACTCCTCGCTTCCCACCCATCACATCTCAGCCTGGGTCTGAGACACATAGGGATGACATGAGTCCCAGTAAATGTATGGCCTGGTAGTTCTGCTCTTGTCCACTTGACCTTCCCGTGACTTTAATCTCCTTTGAACTTTCCACATTTTAAAACAGAACGAACACCTTCGTTTCATCTCAGAAGCAGATTAACTTCAGCTCTGTGCCTTTTTTGTTTTTCAGTGTCAGGGGTTAGAAACCTAGGTGTCTGTATTCAGTTGAGAGAAAAGTTCGCAGCTGCAAATGGCTGCTGAAGCTATTTAGTCACGCAGAGGAGGCAGAAGTGCGGTGTCACTTTCTTGGAGGGAGAAGTGGGAAATCAGTGTGGGAAAAAAGACACAGACAGGATTTAACAAGTAAATAGAAGTGAGACCTTGTGGCAAAGGCTGACCACATACTGGACTGACCTAGCACGAGTGTAGCTAACAGGGTGAAGGGGGTGATGATTTTTTTCTCTCCATCACTTCTGAGTACGCAGCTGGAGTACTATGTCCAGCTTTGGCCTCCCCATTAAAAATAAATAAATAAATAAAAATCCCATAAAACACAGAAATACTAAAACTGGTCAAGGGGAGAGCCACAAAGATGCTTAGGAGCTGGAGCACTTGATTTGCAGGGACAAACTGTCAACTGGATTTGTTCAGCCTGGAGAAGAGAAAGCTAAGGAGAATCCAGTTGCAGTCTCTTACTGCATAAAGGGGCTATGGAGAAGATGGAGCCAGTCTCTCAGAGGTAGACAGTGAAAGGACAAGACGCAATGTTCATAAGTTATGGGTAGGGTTGTCAAATATTGGAAGAGGTGCCCAGAGAAGGTGTGTCATCTCCATCCTTGGAGATTTTCTAAACTTGACTGGACTGATCTGATCTAGCTTTGAAATTAGACCTGCTGAGCAGGAGTTTGGACCAGATGGACTTCAGAGGTCCCTTCCAAATCAAATCTTTCCCTTACTCTGTGACCTATGAGTATGAAGGGAAGACTCACTATGATTTTTAGGGGAGAACGCCCAGGGGACAATAGTAGATCACCTGAAATAACATCATCTGTTCCCCTTTCTTGTAACTTGGGGAGAAATATTTAGAAAGTGAGAAACAGACTGAATACT